GTGGCTTCTCATTTCACTTCGAACAAAATCCCGTGATTTTACCAGGCCTTTGAGGCCCCCCAGGCTCCAGCACCTGCCTGCTTCTCCAAATTATTGGCACTTCCCACTCGATGACCCTGCCGTCCGCTGCCTTACTTTTGGTCCTTCCAAACACCGAGGTCTTCTTCTGCAACAAGATCTTTTATTTGCTGTTCTCTCTACTTGGAATTCTCTTACTCCAGATCTGAAAATCCAGACTGTTCCTCATCCTGCAGGTCCCAATTCATATGTTCTTTCTTCTGTGACCACCATCTCCCTCACTCCCACTGCCCTCCTTAGTTCCCCCAAAACACCTGTCCCTCTCTGAAATTTTCTCCTTCCTTTCTTCAGTTAGTTGTTTTTTTTCCAATATCTTCCCCCACATGCCACTTCTTGGAGTAAGTTCCTTAAGGACAGGGAGAAGGACCATGTCTGTCTCATCTGCTATTGGGTTTTCAGTGCTTAGAGGAATACCTGGTACATGGAAGATGCTCAGTATTTGTTGATGGGGCGCCTGGGGGGCTCAGTCAGTTAGTTAAGTGTCTGCCTTCGGCTCAGGTCTTGGTTCCGGAGTCCTGCGATCGAGCCCTGCATTGGGCTCCCTGCTCAGCGGGAAGCCTGCTTCTCCCTCTCTCTTTGCTGCTTCCCCGTGTGCTCTCTCTCTGTCAAATAAATAAATAAAATCTTAAATAAATATTTGTTGAATGATAGAAGGAATGAATTAATGAAATGCTGACAGAGTAACAGTTCAGATAGAGGTTGTCTTCAGTCACAAGACAGTGAAGTTCTCTGTGGCTGGAAAGTGAGAATTTGTGGCAAGAGTATAGATTTGAAAAATAGTTTTAATAGCATTTTAAAATTATTAATTTATTAATGTATTATTAATTTAAGTTATTAATTAAAATAGCATTTTTAAAGTACTCCCTACTCTTACTGCTATTATTTTAAAACATTCTGGCTTAAATCGTAGTTTGTGAAGTTGTGGCCTTCACAGTGAATATGTGGCCTCCCTTCCTTCTCTTTCTCTCCTCCTACCAAATGAATGAACAAACAAAAGCCAGTGCTGGCAATGGGCTCTCTGGGCTCCCACAACATTCTGTACATATCTTTATCATATCTCAATGTTTTTACTATTTATTATCCTATTTGCCTTATGAGAATATAAACTCCTTGAGAGCAGGAATTACATTTTTTATCCCTGCATCTCTAGTATTGTGTTTGTTGATTGAATAAAGTGGATATTAAAATTTTTCTAGTTCCTGAGCAGCATGGCCAAAACACAATGATTTAGCAATTATTTCTGAAGGAAAAATTATGATCTAGTGTTTACAGATATCTGAGATAATCTAAAAATATAGTTTATTCAAAGACGATCATAGAAAAATGTCTTTCATAAATGGAGAGGAGAGGAATATATGGAAGGTCTGGGGTGGATGAAATTTTATATACATATATAAAGTATATATATGAAAAATACATAATTATGTGTGTGTATATATATGTGTATACACACACACATATATATGAGTGAGTAATTTACTATTTTAGCTACAGTTTTATAAAATTTGATAGCATAGCAAGGTAAAACATTTTCCTGTCTCATTGCCTAGGTTAATTAGCCTGTATTTTTTTCAGTATGGGAGGATTGCAAAACTGAATTATATTGCTTGAAAGAAGGTCTGCAGTTGAAATGCTGGCACAGCCAGAACTACTGTGGTTAATGTATTTGTTACCTGACTTTCCTGAGAGCAAAGATGGAGTGTGTGTGTGTGTGTGTCTGTGTACCGTGATGGATTTTAAAATTCAACTTAATAAATGTATTGAGAGCCTACTGTAGTATTCTAGGCACTGCCTTCAGTGCCAGTAAGTCACAATGAATGAGATACATCCATCCCTGTTAGGAATGTCATGGTCCAACCAAAAGACACATTCCCACCCAAAATTATTAAAAATGTTAAGTATGCATAAAGGATCAGAGACACCCAGATGATGAATGAATTGATTCCACTGTGTGCTGCATGCGTGTTTACAGGCAAGGGCACTGGGAGGGAAGGGGAAGAAGTGGCATTTGAACTAGGCCATGGGATACAGCAGAGATTTGCACACTGTTGGTAGCTGTGTTGAACATTTTATTTTGAAACTTCCCTCCTTTGGTTGTAAATGGAGATTCGATATTTTTTATTCCTTTTTATCATTTTAATATTGGTAGGACTTTTTCATAATCTTAGGAAGTCTGAAGTTGGGTGATAATGGTAGTAAGCAGCGCTCAAAAGACTCTTGATTATATGCTGGTTTTGAGGAGGTGAATTTTAGAAATGAGGAAGAGAATTCTTGGGATGGGGAGATGGAATGACTAGACGAGGATTCACTCAGGGAGGGGCTTAGGGTAGGAAGCATCAGATAGTGGGCAGCCCTGTGGTCATAATGAGAAGGAAAGGCATGGTCAAGGGGACATTATATTTGCGTGTCTCTTTGTGTCTGTGCAGAGGTGCAGCATGCATTTGCTTGGGTCGTCCTGAGCCCTGGAAATAAACCTAATATTTGTGCAGTTTTTTATACCTGTTATGTCATTGAGTCTTCCCCAGAACCGTGGAAGTAAGTGCCATTATCACCACTTTGCAGATGAGGAAACAGATGCCCAGAGAAGTTGCACACAGAGTGAGACGGCCGAGGTGGGCCTCACACTGCTGCTTGCTGGCTGGAAAACACAGGGTTTTCTCACACCACCACAGCCGTTTCGGGGGTGCTGAGTCCTAGAGTGAGAAGGGCAGGATGGCAGGAAACTGGGAGGAAAGATGGCCAAGTGAGGCACCCTCTTGGGACAGAATGGGATTGAGAGAAGCTGCTCAGTGTGACCCATTTCCATTCCGTCTCGTCTTTCGATCATTTCCTACTTTGTAGGTAACATTTCCCAAGTTAGGTATTTGGGGCTCCAGGAGCAATGCCAACTCTTGTTTGAAGACCAGACCTTCTGGTGATTAAGATCTTATGTCCAGGTGGCAGAAATCACGAGTGTAAAACTCCTTTGCTCACAGACCTTTGTAGATAAAAGTGAAGCGATCCAGCAGAGAGAACACGCGCCAGCCTGGCCTGCCCCAGGTGGGGGTATAAGCCGCTGCCAGAATAATGTCCCCTCAGGCTCAGCCACAGTGGGCTAAAGGAACGGCTTCTCAGAGGACCTTCTGGACATGCATGTGAGAAGCCGTAACACAGTCATGTGCAACAGCTTAGCGTGTGCATCTCCTGTTTGGGATTGAGCCGCACACGGGGCGAGGAACTCCAGAAGCAACAAGGAGTCCCAGTATCAGAAGTGGACAGCCTGGGAAACCTACGAAGGAAAGGAAGGCACAAACCCTGCCTCCAGCCAGGAAGGAATTTGCAGAAGCCACCCCACGTTTGTTTTGGGGGGATTTTAAGTGCAAAGAGAAGACGTGTGAGTTTGTGGTCTAGAGTAGCTTTTTCATTGGGTATAGCTGGACACAGGAGTCCAAATCATTCTGTCCAGGCTTCTGTCCTTCTCCCTTCGTCTCGGCTCTGTGGGGTGGCGCTGTCAGGGAGCCTGGCTGCTTCTCTATGCAGGCTGAGAGGGCCGCACACGGCTCTAGGCTTACACTGGCCTTATCGTTACATTCAGAGAGGGCTCGTGAGGCCTGGTTGGGATAGGCCACTCTTCAGTCCAGCGTAAATAAAATATGTTTGATGAAATGCAGTGTGAGTTGTTCTGGCTGCCGCATCTTTTCCAAGTACAAATGTTCTGAATGTGTGTGGTTTTAGCACCCTGACAACTCCGCAAACATTCCTTCCCCTACTCACAGACGTGACCATGGCTTAGTGTACTTTTAATGTGTGGCATCTATCTTCTCAGTTTTCCAGTAAGAAGCCTTTGGCTCACCATTAGTTTGTTTTTTGGTGTGGTACTTTTTTTTTTTTTTTTAAGATTTTATTTATTTATTTGACAGAGATCACAAGTAGGCAGAGAGGGAGGCAGGGAGAGGGGGAAGCAGGCTCCCTGCTGAGCAGAGAGTCCTTTGCAGGGCTCAATCCCAGGACCCTGGGATCATGACCTGAGCCAAAGGCAGAGGCTTTGATGCACTGATTAACCCACTAAGCCACCCAGGTGCCCCTCACCGTTAGTTTTAAGTGTCTCTAACTTCATGTCATAGGTTTCTAAACAGGGTACTAGAAACGTCTGTAAGGTTTGCCACAGTTCTGGAATCCCCAGGTATGGTTGATTTTGTTGAAAGTACAGTCTGCTGGAACTTGCAAGATTCAGAATTTCTCCCAACTTACAGCCACCTGTGTCTCTCTATAAGGTTTGATGGTTATTATGGACGTGTGCGTGTACAAACAGATGCACAAAAAGGCACAAATATGCATATCTTATTTATGTGTCGTTATCAATATTGTAATAATCCCTAAGGGACGAAACACTGCAATAAGACGAAATCAGAGAGGGAGACAAACCTTAAGACTCTTCAGACTATAAGAAATAAACTGAGGGCTGCTGGAGGGGAGGGTGAGTAGGGAGATGCGGTAACTGGGTGATGGGCATTAGGGAGGGCACGTGATGTAATGAGCCCTGGGTGTCATATGCAACTGATGAATCACTGAACTCTACATCTGAAACTAATAATACACTCTGTGTTAATTAATAGAATTTAATAAATAAAAAAATTAATAAAATAAAACTAAATAAAATGAAAATTTTTTTAAAAACCTGTAGTAATCCCTGAGATGGATGGAGGGAGATTGTTTTTTAAATTAAAACTTTATGATTCAGGTTGGCAAGAATCCTGTGTATTTGCCTGTATCCGAATGCTAGAGTCTGTCTACCGCTTGGGCACAGTGAAATTGTCTACACAAGTGTAGTGAATCCAGAGAGCTTTGTGGTAGTTTTCTTCTGAAACTAGACAGGATTATGGGTTAATGACTGGTGCTATCTTGTGTTGCTTCATGTTTGTCATTCATTTCTCTTACTCTAGGCACTTGAAGAGGCTCAGAAAGCTATTCAGCAACTCTTCGGCAAAATCAAAGATATCAAAGACAAAGCAGAAAAATCAGAGCAAATGGTGAGTTTCGTTTTCTTCCAAACTTTCTTGCACTTGAAGAGAAAGTTCAGTTCTTGTCCAGTCATTCTGATTACTGGGCTTTTTCTCCCACTCACTGCCAGCCACAGCACCCACATCTCTGAATCAAGGCCTGGGAATACCTTCCAGATCGATTCAAGAGGAGCTGCTAGACATACGGTGACTCACCCTCCCAGCTGCCCTGCAGTTGCAGCCCTATTTTTAAATGGGAAAAGTTTTCTTCTTCTCTCCCCAAAATAGTTTTCTAGTCATTTCGGGTTCCTTTCACTGGCATTTTTATATGTTGTATATTTCTCAGTTGAGATACACGATATGTAACATGGTGTAGCGTGAAAACTGCTACTGGATCTGGGTGGGGGGGTGCGTCTCCTGCCACAATACGTGCTTATGGTTTTGATTAAGTTCTCCCTTGACAAATTTGTGTTCCCTGGTGATGTACACAGGAGGCCTATCTGCTCATTGGGAATCCAGCCTCCCCCACTCCTGCTCCGTGAAGGGACACCATAAAATGTTAGCTCCTGCACTCGCATTCTGACCACGTAGTATCATATCTCTGAATTGTGTCTGAATTCCAGTTTCTTCAGCTGCAAAATAAGTACGATAACACCTGCCTTAAATGACTCTTGGAAAATTAAATGTATGAAGGGCACTGAGCATAGTACTAGGCTTGTGACTGAAGTCATTGCTAATGTCATTCCCCCCCCACTTCTTTTGGTTACAGAAATTCCCGAATCCTTACAGTCTTCTTGCCCTACATCCTCTTCTAATTTATTACTACAGGAACAGAACTGCTGTCACCTTTCTGTGTATCCTGCAGCTCTCTTTCAGTGGCCGTTTGGCAAGATAGGAAGGATATGGAGTGGGAGGGGGACGGGCAGCTTGACAGAGTAGCGCAGCGCACAACCTCTGAAGGCAGGCTGCCTGTGTTGGGATCCAGCCCCTCTACTTACAAACCGTGGCAAGTCATTGAACCCATCTGTGCCTTGGTTTCATCACTGTAAAATGGAGGTAATAGTCCTGGGTATATCCCAGGATCGTGGGGATTAAATGAGATCACATGTGATACCCACAGCCCCTGAGTGAGAATCGGTTGTTGCTGTTCTTACCGTCAGCTCTTCTGTTCCTCCTCCCAGGCAGGCAGTGTTACGGGCCTTAACTACCAAAGGAGGGTTCAGAGGAACAGAACCCTTTCATCAGAAGGAAAATATGAATATTTGTGCTTTGTCGCAGAATTCAGTAGGCTTTGAGAGGCAGCTGTCTGTCATCTGAGAGGGATTCAGATTTGTGGTTCTTTCCCCAAGGATGTGCTGCTTCAGCGCCATCCACTGTTCATTGAAGAGCGAGAGTTAGTAGATGTTTTATTTTCCAGCAGTTTGCTCTCCTGGCTCGTGCTTTGCTAAAGGGAGGAAGAGGAGGGACTGGAGAGAGAATGGATGTTCGTTGAGCTCCTTCAGGGTGCCAGCTACTGTCATAGATATCCTTTGATACAAGTAATCTAATTTAGCTTTCACAACAACTTAATCAACTAGGTTTTATTATCATTATTATTTTTATGATTACCCATTTTTTTTTTTAAAGATTTTATATATTGGGGCACCTGGATAGCTTAGTTTGTTAAGCATCTGCCTTGGGCTTAGGTCTGGATCCCAGGGCCCTGGCCCCCAAGGCAAACGCGTACCTGAATGAGACACCGAGGTGCCCCGTGATTACCCATCTTACAGGTGACGAAACAGACTCAGTGAGGCTAAGGAGCTTATTCTAGGACACAGAGTTGGTGAGTGGAAGAGCTGAGATTCAACCCTAGAGCTGCCTAACTCCAAAACCTACCATAGCATGTTTTGTCCTTTTTTGGCTGCCCCTGGCTACAGTTCAGGCACATTAACTCCAGGTATAATGATCCCTGTGACTTTGACCTGAGCATCCTTTGCATGAGCTCCGTTTGTTTAGGAAAGACAGGATATGTGATGGGGAAAGACGGAAGGTACTGGGAATGGAGAAACCAGTCACTTCTGGTGCAGAGCTCCAGGGAGGGCCTGAAGGATGAGTAGACAGGGACAGTTTTTGTGATGAGGCACAGAAAGAACATTGAGGATTTAGTGGCTGAATAATGATGTGGGAATGAGAAGAGTCACAGATGACTGTGATTCTTAATGCAATAGTCAGAGACTGCTGAGGAAGCTAAGAAGAGGTGCAGGGATTTTTCTGTAGAAAAGTGGGTGATGAGTCAGTGTTGGAAGTGGGTTATCAGATCCTAGGACCACACTTCTATACTAGTTCACTGTACCACTCCTGATCTTGTTTTTCCCTAAGCTCAGTTATTCCGTGAAGAAGTTCTCAGCCTAGGGACGCCTGGGTGGCTCAGTTGGTTAAGCAGCTGCCTTCGGCTCAGGTCGTGATCCCAGCCTCCTGGGATCGAGTCCCACATCGGGCTTCTTGCTCAGCAGGGAGCCTGCTTCTCCCTCTGCCTCTGCCTGCCACTCTATCTGCCTGTGCTCACTCTCTCTGTCAAATAAATAAATAAAATCTTTAAAAAAAAAAAAAAAAAAAAAAAAAAGAAGTTCTCAGCCTATTCCCACACCCCTGCTCCTACCCCCAGGGAACAGAGGTAGAGATACTTTGATGGCCTGAGAGTAACAGGGAGAGGGGGCTTGATGGGGAAGTCCCTGTGAGAGAGACTTTTACTGCCAAGATCCAGGTAAGCTTAGCAGGTTTGTGGGTGTGGAACAAAGCTGTAAGGGTCATCATCTTTACTTTATGGGTTCACCCAGGGTGATCAAACTCTGAAAGATCGGATCATGTGAACCTAACTCCCCACGTTTTTCACTTTTAATGAGAGCTGGGTCTTTCCAGGGACTAGAATATTTGTGTCTAGTGTCCAGGGCACTCCCCTTCCTTCTAGGTATCAAAGAACCTGGGAAACCAAATTGCTTTTCAGGAAGTTTCTTGGTCAACATGAGCTCAGGCAGTTTAGTGGGACATTCTGCCTAGATGTTAGTAAAGTTGGAGAATTGTTCCCACTTTATTACCAAATGTGCTTTTCTAGTGACTGAAATATACTTGTTTTCCAGGTAGAGTTTATTTCTCTTGGATCTACTGGGTCAACAGTGTCTGAATTTTACTTCCCCAGTTACCTTCTTGCTCCTGAAGACTTAACAGTACATGTTAGGCATATGTTACATTATTTTAGTCTTCTTGAGATTTGAGATCAAGTCTTTCTTTGCTGGGGATCAGGCAGTAAACCTTGGTTTCATGAATAAAGATCGTTTCAACAGAATTAGCCGCCTAATACTATCCATTCTGTATCGAACCTGGCAGCCCTCCTGTCAGAAGGCATACTTTCCTGACCTTGTTCCAGAGGAGACGTGCCAAACTTGGCTCCTGGACCCTGTAAGCTCCATACTAAATTGCCATTTGGATTGCTCCCTTTGGGGTGAAAAAAAAAGTTCATTTAGTTCTCACAATTGAGGATTTTGTACCTCTGGGTAAAAAGTCTTCTGAAGAAATGCCAGATGAGATTTAAATGGACTGATTGGAAGGTATTTCGATTTTATATGATGAGAATGTCTGTGTTTTCTCCAGGGGCTGACCTCAGGTTTTTTTGTTTTTTGTTTTTCCTTGCATCATTTGCCTTATTTTCTTGTGGATCTACTTGCAAATGGATTTCCATGTTTCTAAACCTTCTTCATTTTTCTCCTGTGGTTTCTCACTCCATAGGTTAAAGAAATCACCCGTGATATTAAACAGCTAGATCATGCCAAACGCCACCTGACCACGTCGATCACAACGCTGAACCATCTGCACATGTTAGCAGGTGGTGTGGATTCCCTCGAGTAAGCAGTGTCCACTTTCTCTTTGGGGTCCTCAGGAAATGAACGTGCCACGTAAAGAAAATGGCATCATAGGTATTTTACTCGGCCAGGGAAGGCTCACTCTCCTGCCCCACTTCCAGCAAATTGGTCTCAAGTGTTTAGTCACCATTTGGCTTTGTGCCCTCTGGTGTTCAAAACGTCACAAACACCTGAAAGTTTGAAGTGAGTTGCAAGTGAGTGTGGAAGGGACCCAGACAACATGTGGAGGATGATTCCAAGAATACGGCTCGTTTAAATGTGGTGGATCTCTACCATTAAGTCCAGCAGGGTCATTCGGGACCATACTCTGTCCCTATAGCCCCTGCCTTGGCAAGTTTTCCTATTTGTGTTGGGCTCAGTTGCAATGCTGTTGGATGTTCTGTATAGAAACAGGGATTTAAAAAAGAAAGGAAGCAAGAAAGAGAGAGAAAGTGAGAGAGAAAAAGAAAGTCTTGATTTATCATTCATCCCATTTTTTTTTAACCCACTTTTTCAAAGATGGTAGCATCCTCTTTGGTTTATAGAGGAGCTGTAGGGAATGATGCCTGAGGACATTAGAAGTAATATTCAAAGGAGGCACTGGTTATTTACCATAAGAGGCAATCCAAAGGCCTCTTTTACCAGCAAGATTCTTACGTGGCTGGGAATTTGCCCTGACCCAGCTTCAGTAGTGTCTCATGTGCAGACAGAGAAAGAACATCTTCACAGAAATTTAAGATGCAGAGTCTGAAGCTGGGAAGTGGACAGGGTCAGACTCCTTCCTGGTCTCTCCAGGAAGGTTATGAGCTCCAGCAAACCCTAGTCTATTCTCCTGTGAGTAGTGATCAGAGATATGAGCCAGCCAGCGGTAGACTAGAAGAGCAGTTTCCTTGTCCCTTGCTCCAGATGCTCCAGATGTCTTTTCCCACCAGACTATCCGACCAGGCTGCAGTAGCACCATAACACCAAGTTGGTTTGAACTGGATCCTGTCTTTCTAAATGCCTCCTTTTTTTTTTTTTAAATGTTTCTTAAGGGAGGTTGTATATTAAACATTTAATTTAAAACCCCAACCCTAATAAAAAATTTAGATCTACAAATTTGACCTTCCCAGTGCTTTTATTAGCATCCTTTTATTTAAGCTTTATTAACCATAGGGAAAGTAGACATGTCTGGGAGAGTTGCTTAGCATTGGCTTTACACCTACAGCTTTGAGTTAACATATAAATGCCTTAAAATGTACTTTGTTGTATCTTGGGAAGATGTGTTTGGTTTGCCCATATGCTGTAATCCTTAGATAGTAACATTCCTATCCCTGTTTTCTGTCAAAAGTCTGCTAATCCCGTAATACCCAACCCAAATCCACAGTCTTCCCAGATTCTGTGTCCCCACCCAATGAGAATCCATCACCCACACATTCTTTTGTACCTCCCATAGCACATAATGTGTATTTCTGTTGAGAACTCAGTTTATCCCACTCATGTACTTGGCTGTGTCTCTCTTACTAAGTGATACCACTTTGAGGCGTTTGATTAGTTCTTTTTTTTTCCCCACCTCCAGTGTGCGAGACCGTATACAGTTAGTGCTCAGTAAATGGTTACCACATCAAGTTGATGTCTGTTTTGGAGCTCAGAGTAGGTTGTTCCATATCTGTATCTTGTGTCCTTCGTGTGTTTCTAGATTCTCAACTTCTTATTCCCTTGCAGAGCTATGACCAGGCGAAGACAATATGGAGAAGTTGCTAACCTTCTTCAGGGTGTGATGAATGTTCTGGAGCACTTCCACAAGTATATGGGAATTCCACAGATCCGGCAGCTTTCTGAAAGGTAAAATGTCGCTGGAGAAGACAGTCTTCTGCTTTAGAGGAAGATGGCGCTGGGATGTGCTTCAGCACCTAGCTCAGTATGTTCACTGCAGCATCTTCTTGTAAGAGGGACCCTCAGATGTCATCTCATGTAACTTGGTGGGATATAGATGTCTACACCCCTTTCCCACTCCTTACTATGTCTTCTAAAGCAATCTCTCTTGGACTGTTGCTGGCCTGGCATCATTGGAGGGGCAGCTGGCGAATTATGTAGGTGGACATCCACATTTGTGAGGAAAACTGTTCCAGTTGTCTCTTTCCTTATAACAAACCACCACCACACTTAGTGGCTCACAACGACAGGTATTTCACTTGTGTAATTTAACCTGCCTCAGCAGGAATGTTTCTCACTTCCGCTCCATGCAGCATCAGCTGGGGTGGGTCAGGAGGGGGCCTGAGGGATCCAGGGATCACTCTAGTGACTGGCCAGTTGGAGCTTGTTGTCCGCTGGGAGCTCGGCTGGTTTGTCTTCCATTGGTCTTCCTCAGGGTTAGGTGGCTGGGTCCCAAGAATGGGCCTCCCAAGAGAACTAGGCCTTGGAAGTCACTGTGGGAGGGAGTCACAAGGCAGCCAGGATTAGAGGAAGGAACGTAGTCTCCCCCCAGCCCCTCACTCGGAGGAACAGCAAAGTCTCATTGATGAAAAGAGCACGTGGGACGGGCTGTACTGCTGTGGCAGTTTTTGGAAAGTCTCATTTGCCACTAGAACTTCAGATGTGACAAAATGATGACTTCGCCTCTTCTTTTCTTCCTACCTCTGGGAAGTTTCAGTCCCAGATTCAGAGCCAGTAGGAAGGAGACCTGATACTTAGAAGGAAGGTGAAGATTCTAAAAGAGAATAAGAGAGGAGTGAATTGAGTGTGTTTTCTATTAGAAATAGCCGTGGCGAGAATACTGAGGAGGCAGAGATGGTCACAATTGACGAATCCTAACCTTTCTTGAACAAAGAAGAGACAAAGGGGCTGGGCCCTTGACAGCAGCCAGCATTCTCATTTCTGTCTTCTTAATCAGGCCTGATTGCCACAGGCCTCTTTTTCCTTAAGTTTCTATATTTTTAATCATGTAAGTAATTATGTAAGTAATATAGGTATGCATTTTCTTTATTTAAAAAAAAGCCAAATAAATATACAGATGGAACTAAAGTCCCCTTTAGCTTTCCCTGGGATCCTAGTGCTGTCTGTACAGGCAGTGACAGGAGTGACTATTATCAAGTGAATGTGGATTCCTCTCGATTTTTATCTGTGCATTTACAGAAATCTGTAGTTTCAGTTTGTGGGTTTGGGCTGTTTGGTTTTAATAAATGGTTTCATACCATATGCTTCATTCTGAAACTTTTGGTTTTACCCTCACGATGTATTTTAGAGATTTTCCACACTGATATACAAACCTACCTTGTTCTTTTTATTCTTTTAAATTTATTTTATTTTTTAAAGATTTTATTTTTGTGAGAGAAAGAACGAGCGCACGCACGTGAGAGAGAGAGCACAAATAGAGGGGAGAGACAGAGGGAGAAGCAGACTCCCCACTGAGCAGGAAACTCGACATGGGACTCGATCCCAAGATCCTGGAATCATGATCTGAGCCAAAGGCAGATGTTTAACCAACTGAGCAACCCAGGCGCCCCTACCTCGTTCTTTATAATTGATGCCTGGAATTCTGTAGTATAACATACCACAGATTATTTAATAATTTTCCTATCACTAGGTTGTTTGTTTCTAATCTTTAAAAGTGATCCCTTTTTGCACATCGATAAATATTTCCCTAGGAAAGATTATGTCATGGGTAAAGTCCAATTAAAATTTTAATAACCACTGCACATTTACCTTCCCAAGAGGCATTATCTATTTTATAGTACCATCTGCAGAGTGGTGAATGCCACTCCCCTTACCTTCAAGAAAGCTTTGTATTGTCAGTTTTCCTGTTTTATTTAACTGGTGGATGAAAAATAGCATCGCGTTCCTTTCATTTCCTTTTCCCTGGTGACTACTGACACTAGTGCTCTTTTGATTATTGGCCATTTGTGTTTCCTCTGAAATGCCTGTTACCCCTTGCCTTTTTGTCTGTTGAGTTATTTATTCCTTTCTTATTGTTTCTGTATATTCTGGACATTGATACTTTGTCAGAGCTGGTAGATCTTGCCTGTAAAACCATGTGGGTGTGTTACTCTCTTAAAGGTAGATCTTTGACTCTCACTGTGATTTCTTCCATGATTATTAATTGGTCTATTCAGGTTTCTTATTTCTTTTTTTCCTTTTGTTTAAATCATGTTAATATATACATAAGATATACCATGTTAATAATTTTCAAGTGTGCAACTCAGCGGTGTTAATTATATTCACAGTATTATACAACCATCACCACTTCTATTTCTAAAACTTTTTCATTACCCCAAACAGAAACTCTTATCCATTAAAGAGTAACACCCATTATCTCCTTTCCCATCTCTGGGAATCTGTGTTCTATTTTATGTTTCTCTGAGTTGCCTAGTGTAGGTACCTCATATAAATGGAATCAAACAATATTTGTTCTTTTGTGTCTGGCTTATTTTACTTAGTACAATGTTTCAGGGTTTCTTCGCGTTGTAGAATGTCTCCGAATTTCATACCTTTTTAAGGCTGAATATTTCACTGTATATATACACTACATTTTGTTCATCCATTCATCTGTGGGTGGACACACAGATTGCTTCTACCCATTAGCTGTTGTATGATAGACTGGGCGAATCTTTGGTCTGGCATTTCTTGTTGCCTGTTAAAAATCTGGTCAGTCTTATTCTTAACTCCTTAATAAGGTAATCTATTTTCATTTGATTTTTATTTTGCTCTGGAAGCCTTTGAGATTAGGGAGAGGGGCTGGTCAGGAATTTTACTAGGATATAGGTCTCTTATCCTTCATGTTGCTCTGTACTTACCGTATCTTCAGTCTGAAGACTCATGAGTTTCTTAAGTTCTGAGGAATCACTTTCTTCTGTTTCTTTGAGTAGTTTCTGTGCTTTGTTCTCTGTGCTTTCTCTTTGTGGAATTTCTATTATGTGAATATTGGAACTTCTAAGTCTGTCTTTCTTTCTTTCTTTCTTTCGGGAGGACGAGGGGGTGATACAGAGGGAGAGGGCGAGAGAGAATCTGAAGCAGGCTCCATGCCCAGTGCAAAGCCCAGCACAGGGCATGATCCCACAACTTTGACTGAGATCATGACCCCAGCCAAAATCAGGAGTCAGCCATGCAACCAACTGAGCCACCCAGGTGCCCCAGATTATATGTATTTTAAAGCTCTGATTTGCCTGTTCTGTTTCTTTGTCCTCTGATAGAAGGTTTTCGGTTTGTTGAGCATGGTGACTCTTTCTTGGCATTGGCATTCCTCCAGTGTTTGGTGATTTCTAACTGAAAGCTCATTTTTGGCTTTGAGATTCTCTGTCATCCTGATCAGGGTTGCTCTTCTATTGCCACCTGCTAAGAGAGGGGTGGAACGTGCTGCTCAGCTAAGAGCCACAGATAGCTCTTCTTAGGTGAGATGGGTCTGGAGCTGGAGGAGTTGCCAGGTGGATATGCTAGTGGCTGATCTGCTGGGCTTGGGGGCTCCCTGATCGGCCTGGATGTTGGCAGCCCTCTGGCCACTGCGGAGGTTCTCAGACCCATACCCATTCCATGACCTGAGCGTTCAAGGCAGGGATGCAGACCTGGACACCGGCTGGCTTCATTACTCCCCTTGCAAGAGGCCAACATAGCGTGCTGGCATTTGCTTCAGGGCCTCTCCCACTCATGGGATCCGCTATCCTCATGTCTTCCGTTTTTGAAAAACAGTTTGCAGCAGTGGTTTCCTTCTTCAAGCCCGTGCTACCAGGTAGTTCTGAGTTTCTAGCATGCTTCTTCTTTTCTTGCCTGGTTCTGGATTTTTATTAAAACCTTTTTATTATTTCTAAGGACCTGGGACAGGAAGGGGAGGTTGCAGCATGTGCCATCTTAGAGTGGAAATGCCAGAGGACTATTAGGGAATGTAAGAACAGAGCTTGGCAGAATACTAGGGAAATCACCACCCTTTCCCCCATCCTTCCTTACTCCTTCACACTTAGAACTGGCCAACCGCCATATCACATGGGGGCATGAAGTAGCAAAGAGAGCAGACAAACAGAGCCTTATGAGCTGCCGGAAAGAAGGAGACTCAGATGGAGAAGGCAGACTTGTTCTCAGGGGATGGGGGAGGAGAACGGAAGGGAAGTCACTATCACCTCCCCTTACCCTTGTGACAGTCCAGAGTTGATCTTTTTTTCCCCCATTCACTTATTCTTTCCTTCATTTACCTAATAGATACACACTATGGACTTTCTGTGTCCTAGGGCCCGTGCTAGGGTATTGAAAACACAAAGTAAGAAATACATACTCTGTGCCCTCAAGGAGTTCACCATTGTTGTGTGCAGAAGAGAGACACTAGTTGAAAATTCTAGTGTGGCATAGATACAACAGAAGTGGTAGATGCAGTACAAGCAATAGCCAGATCTCAGAAGAGGAACTGAAGGACTCAGCCTTCAGGGGCTGAGGGCAGGGTCACGGAAGAATTCAGTTTTCATCTGATCTTAAAAGAATAGGTAAGATCTTACCAGCAAGACAAGAACAGAGGAGGAAAAATAGAGAACATCGTGGTACTTTGGAAGACAGCAGAGTGTGAAAGTCTGCATAGGTAGGTAGAGTCGCATTTTATACACCTTGTGAAAGAGTCTATTCTTTATTTTGTGGACAGGAAGTATCTTAAGTAGGGAGGGGCATGACCTCATTTGTGTTTTGTAGAAGTCTTATGGACTGTAGCTATAAAGGACTGGAGATTGAGACTATGTTCTAGACCAGAAAAGATAAGAACCTCACCAAGACAGTAACCATGAGGCCAAGGAGATCTGGGGAGGCGTTTATTATCAGTTGGTTGCATTGGGGCGTATGGGTGTCTCAGTTGTTAAGCGTCTGCCTTTGGCTCAGGTTATGGTCCCAGGATCCTAGGATCGACCCCCGAATCAGGCTTCCTGCTTGGTGGGAGGCCTGCTTCTCCCTCTCCGACTCCCTCTGCTTGTGTTCCCTCTCTCGCTGTCTCTCTCTCTCTGCCAAATAAATTTTTAAAATCTTAAAAAAAAAAAAAATTGGTTGTGTTGGGTGGCATTGTTGGATGGCAGGAATATAGCAGAACTAAATTCTATCCCTAAAAAAGCAATGTAGGGACGAATAAGAGGATGCAGTCTTTTAGGACTCTGCTTTTTAACATTTTTCAAAGAGGTGGTTTTTATAAATTTGAAAGAACTTTGTGATAACTGTTGTAAGACATTCTCCTTAAAAAGAGACAATCTGACATTCTGGCAATGTATTTCAGTGCTCCAAACATTCATTATCATGTAGCGTTGCTGCCAACAGGAGGACTTAACTTTTCTTTTAGTTCATTTCGTAACTCCTATTAGCAAAAAATTTGTGTAGGTTAAAACAGAATAAATATGTGTTATTAAGTAACACTAAACACAAGAAATCTCTGGTTTTTAGTGCTTGACTACAATTGTTTTTCAAGAGGTACTCAAAGTTTGAGGAAAGTCCAGATTTCTTATTTTTAGCATCTTTTCTGGTGAATTCTTCTCCCTTATGTTTGCACAGTGATGGTAGAACCATCTGGAAATGATAGAAATAGCTGTTTGTTGGGGGGCAGGAGAGAAGGCAGCAGAGTTATGCTCTGTACATTGCTTTAGTTTCTCCAGTTTAATAGCTTGCTCTCTATAAATCGTAGTAGTCACATGAAAGGTTGTGCTCTGAAACCTTTGCCTGTACATTTGAAATATGAAGTTCATGGACTTTGATTTGAATGTAGCTATTTCTTCCAGCTACCCTTCTGGAAAATGCTTAAATGTTAATGTAGCATTGAGGGAAAGATTTTTTTTTTCTTTGATATCATCTTTACATTTCAGAGCCTCCTGGCTTAAGAATATCCATGAGAGCAAATGTTTCTAGTAATCAGTATTTCCTGAGAAAGAGTGGAAGATTCTTGCACTCTCTTGAAACCGATAAAACTCTTGAACTAAAAAATATTTTTCGGAAAAAAAAATAATATTTGTCGGGGCTATAACTAACCTCTTACATGGAAGAGGTACTTAGCAGGCAGGAGGGGACGGGGGGTTCCATGGTGTAGCAATGAAAGAAATTAGAGAATGAAACGGCCTGACTAGCTGTGTGACTTCAACAAGTCCTTTCTGAAAGAATTTCAGTTTCAAAAGCTTAAGGGTTTTGCCTCATTGTCCCCCAGAATCACACTTAAGATTCTGGATTCAGATTCTTTATAAAGCCTGTCTGTTTGGAAATAGAGCATCTGACTAATCTGACTCATTAGCCATTCTGTCCAGGAAGGACTGTGTGTTTAGGAGGTCAGTTCACTGTGAAGTCCTGAGGGTATTTCCCTTGGGGCATTTACAAGGTAATGGAAGCATCAGGATTACTTTATCTACAAATGTCTAAATAATTTTCATAATTTGCTGTATCCTTCTGCTGCCACCCACTGTGCAAACTGATAACACATGTAGGAAAGGTCACCTTTGTTTTTGTTTTTGTTTTTTAAATTTATTTGTCAGAGGGAACACAAGCAGGGGGAGCAGCAGGCAGAAAGAGAAGCAGGCTCCCTGGTGAGCAAGGAACCCGATGCGGGACTGGATGCCAGGACCCTGGGATCATGACCTGAGCCGAAGGCAGACTCTTAACCGACTGAGCCACCTAGGCGTCCCAGGAAAGGTCATCTTTGAACAGTCCTTTGTCAGATGGTATGGCAGGTGCTAGAAGTCATTGGTTGACCTTCCTTTCTGAGGAGCATAGTGACTCCTTTGTTTTCTAAGTACGATCAACCCTGAGTTGTAAGCATCTAAGTGGACTGGACTTACTTGGATACTGGGAGGAATTTTTATTTACTCTCTTCTCTGTTAGTTTTAGATAGATTTCTTTTTTTCTTTTTTTTTTTTTTTTTTAGATTTTATTCATTTATTTGACAGAAATCACAAGTAGGCAGAGAGGCAGGCAGAGAGAGAGGAAGGGAAGCAGGTTCCCCGCTGAACAGAGAGCCAGATGCGGGGCTCGACCCCAGGACCCCGGGATCATGACCTGGGCCAAAGGCAGAGGCTTAACCCACCGAGCCACCCAGGCGCCCCTTAGATAGGTTTCTTAATCATTCTTACGAAAATCAGGATAGCTCAACTCTTCTGCTACCAGCGTCTCAGCTGGTCCCATCTGTTTACCATAGGAACTTCCTTTTCCTTGTTAGCAGAGGGAGGAGTGTGGCCGAAGATGTGTTCTTTTAGTGTTGACTTCTTTCTAGGATCCTGTTGAGGCAACTGATGGTAAAGGCTGCTGTTCATGTCTCACCCTGAAAATGCATGGAGGCCTGGTTGGGGTTTATAGATGTCGTCACTAACATCAGTAAGGGGGACATGGTTGCTCTTTCATCCAAGTCATCCACGGACACTTGGAAAACGTCTATGTTCCAAAGCCCACTCTTCTGCTCCTGCATTAGCCATAGGTCCCACTTGCAATCACCAATGCAGGGGTCTGCTGTTGCCAGCTCGCCGTGAAGGTGGGTGCAAAGGCATAAGCGGTCCCCCTGAGGACAGTGAGAGGCATCCGGTCCAGGCCTGCATCCCCACCCTCTTACTTCACAAATCTTCTCAGTTGTGGCCCAGGTAAGGGAAATGACTTGTTCACATGCGGCTCGCTGGTGGCAGAGCTAAGTCTAGACTGTCTCAAGACGTGACTTTGGAAATGGACTGAAGAAGATGACAGGGGGATCTGCCAGTCATACTCTTGTACTTCCCCCGTCTTCTGCACTCTGGAAGTACCCAGCCTTACCATAGGCTCTGGTTGTCTTTTCAGGTACCCCAGCTTTTGCTGGGTGGAGTTGGGGTGAGGGGGGAGGGTGTAAAGGGCGGAGGAAACTTCATACCACTGAGGTGCTCAGGAGCCATGAGAGTATGACCGGGAATGTCCCTGACGGGGGGGTGGGTAGAACTTCCCCTCCAGGAACTGTCCCTGTGGCTTGGGAGGAACTGGTGCTCTCTCCTTGTGGTGCCAAGAGGCAAGCAGGAGCAGAGGGGCCAGAGGCTCTGGAAGTTCTGTCTTGTGATCTGGCCCAGGGGAGGCTGTCTGCCTGGCCCATTATGTGGAGTCACAAGACCTCTGAGGTAGTTTTACATAAGCATGTTCTCTGCTCTCCTGTCAGAGCTCACACTCAGGGCATACTTCCCACTGTGCATTCGGCATCTTGAAGTGGCTGGCCCTGCTTATGATCTGGGGGCCGCTCCGGTAACAGCCGTATCTCTGTCACTGAGTGACTAAAGAGGCTGCAAAGCCACCTGTAAGAGTGGTTTTAAAAGTTTTGAAGTTGGTGAAAAAACCCTGAAAAGTACCTGAAGTAAAGCATAATTATAACGATGCCACAGAAAAAAACCAGATTGTTTGGGGTCCTGCCTGTCCCCTCATTTAACAAAAAAATTTCTCAGTTTGTTGCCAGCCACTGCTGAATAGCCCAAGAAACTGTGGTTTTGAGCTATTCGCTATTTCTAGAAACTTCAAAAGTTAATTCCAAAGTAACAGGGTGGAGACCAAAAAAGGAAGAACACGATTTTATGGCGCTTCTAGCAGGGGTAAAATATTTATCTCAGGCTCGGGGCAGTGAGCTCTGTGAGAATGGCTGGCGGGAGGCATCCAGCTCCCTGGCCGGGGGAGGACGTGATCATTGCAGGTGGTGCTGACATGCACAGTTCCTTTCTCATGCCAGCTGCTTCTCCTCTCTCCTCTCATTTCAGCCGACAAGTATTTTTTGAGCTCCTGGTAGACACGCAAATGCCAGGTTAGGTACTGACCTTTCCTATTGAGCTCATTTTTGTTTTCAGCCAGGCTTCTGAGTGAACTTCAGCCTTCATTCAGTGGCCTTCACTCCCAAGTAACAGCTCATTTTGTCTTTCGAATCTTCTTTTTACTTTAGAAAACATTCCTTTTGCTCATTTGTTGTTGTTTTAAGATTTTATTTATTTATTTATTTATTTGAGCAAGGGAGCGCACAAGAGCAGGAGGGAGAGGGAGAGAGAACCAACCCAGGGCTTGATCCCACCACCACAAGATCATGACCTGAGCCAAAACCGAGTCAGAGGCTTAACTGACTAAGCCACCCAGGCGCCCCTTCTTTTGTTCATTCGTTAAAACTTAGGATCCTGATGTTGACTTACGGGTTGAAAAAGCAGCATCTCTGAGGCAGGTTGGAGTCCTCCTGCGTTCTGGACTCCAAGGAGCAGGGACGCAGCCCTAGCAGTAATCCAACATGGATTTCTATTGGATTGGGGGTTCTTACGTAGCATTTTCTCATGGCGTGACTACGTGATGACACCTTAGAAAGATAAACATATACTCCCTTACACCAGGTGAGGGTTAGCCTAGAAAAACTTTGGGATATAGAAAATCCATCATGGGAGTAAATCAGATGCCTGGGTCCTGGTCATAAAGCCGCTACTAACTAGTGCGTGACCTCTCTTCTCTAGCCACCACCCAATCTGAGCCCAATCGATCTTTGCATACTTACTTATGGATATATGAAAATGACACCAGGCAATGACATGTTCTCTTTTCCCTGCAGAGTGAAGGCTGCCCAGACTGAGTTAGGACAGCAAATCCTGGCTGATTTTGAAGAAGCATTTCCTTCCCAGGGCACCAAGGTATTATTTTCCATCCAGTCTTAGAAGTTATCACCATTCTTGCCTAATTCACATTCTCTGCCGTGACTCTTCCTTTACCATTCCAAAAGTGCCTGCTGGTAGCCATAAGTCTGTCTGCTAGAGGTTTGGGGTGATGAGACCATCCTTGATTTTAAATATCCCAAAGCAATGTTGGTTCTTCATCTGTGGTCTTCCAGCATCAAAGAGCGAGGATTTATTTTGGTTTAATTTAATATGTGTCAAGCCTAGTATCTCATCTGCCCAGCAAATTTCTTTTTTCTCATGCCTGTGTTAAAAAAAATTTTTTTTTTCAAGCCGCAGTGTTTTTTAGAATCGTTACATAACTTATTGGTTTCAGTTTGGTGAAGAGACAGCTGGGAGGAGCATCCACAGGCTTATGTAACTCTCAGAGCGACACAGGAGACTCACTTTTAATGATCAGAAGCCTGTTCTTTGGGATTAATCCCTTTAACTCTCGCTGGTGGCATGGCTGTTTGTGTTGTGTCTGAGAAGGCCCTGGTATTTTGCTTGTGGGCTATGGTTACACTTCTTCCATAACAAGCTTGCCTCACTTGGCTGTCACTGTGCCTGGGTAACTGCTTTTAGCTCTATCTTTCAAATTGTAGCAGATGTAATCTTAATGCTTTGCATGTGTTGGGGAGAGAAGAACCTTTAGAAGCTTTTTTTCTCTATTATTTGAGCTATTTCAAGAGAAAGAATTATTCAACACAGAAATGAACTAGAGCACACACAGGCAAGCAGCGTTCCTCACTGCACTTGGCGAGTGGAGGTGGGGGTATATGTTCATTTACTAAGCCAAGGGACATTTCCTGGACCTGCTTTATAATTCAATAACCGGAAATATCTTGATCATTTTTCTTTGTGCTCCATGAAAGAAACTTAGGAAGTAGGTGGGGGTAGCTGCCCCGGCTTTGTAGATTACTTCCTATAGGAAACCTGCTCTGGATTTTAATGTCTGTATAGGTTAATGGCTGCCTTCTAGTAATCAGTTATTTTATTTGTAAAACATGTTCCTCTCAGGACTTTATATTCTTTATTCATTTGCTACAACTGTGGGGAGTGGATGTTGGAAAGCCATTCTGTAAAAAGGGATTGCAGGACATTCACAAACTATAAACTGTTCTTAGCCCAGACTGTTCTTAGCCCAGAGTCTGCTTTACTATACTCTGGTATCTAGCCCAGTTTCTTGGAGCTTCAGAAAGATATGAATGAAACCTAGCTTTATGTTTCAGAAGAAACTAGTCATGACCTACTTTATGTCTTTTTCTCAGATCCCACCAGGCAGATGAAGTTAAAATGGTTTTCTTTAACAACTTGCTTACTTTTTCTGTGGCTGGGTAACTTAATTTTTTTTTTTTTTTTAAGTTTTCTATTCTCCTTTTCAGTGACTGGTCTTTTCTTAAAGGCCTTGTGTTGCTATTCCTATTTCACAAATAAAATTTGTGTAAGGTAAAAATTGTACAAGGTAACCTACTAAGCCCTTTTTAAATGAAGATATCTGAATCCATGAGCCCATAGGTTTCGGCTTCTGTGACTTCTCTATCAGATCAAACACTTTCATCCAGAAGCAAGAGGTGGGCAGTCAGAGCACTCAGCAGATGGCATAACAACCATTCAGCACAGAGTGAGTCAGCATCCTAACAGTTTAGCTCTCAGGCAGCTTAGTAACACTTAACAAAACTCTTGAACTTCAGTCGAGACAGACACATTATTGGACAGAGTTTACCCAAAGAGTCATAAAGATTTGAAAGAACGTTAATCATCACCTAATTGAAGTCCTTTTTTTTTTTTCATTTATTTTTCAGATGAGTTTCAGTAATTGCGCCAAAGCCACACAGCTATCTAGTCAAGCCAAGAGTAGATTCCATGTGTTCTTTTTGTTCTAGTCCACCCCGCCAACCATGTTCATTCAGTGAGTTACTATAAAGAAAAGTTGGCTAGATTGCATTGCCTTCAGTAATAATAAAGGCCTTCCCATCGTGATGTATCAATGTGGCCCCTCAGAAGGCAGTAGCCTTCTAATGCCTTTCAGATCAAGGGACCAGTATACTAATATTTTACTTCTGGCTACCTGCCTCGGTTGTTGACAGCCAAACAAGTCTGGCAGTTTGGAACCTGGTTTTAGATTTTAAATGCCACTGCACTTTTGGCACAAATATGGCACTTTAAGAATAGGAATCGGAGTTTGGAATCAGGGGAAAGTGGCATGTGGGGAGTAAGAGTGGTGTCCTTCTGAGACGTGTGGCTCTTCACCAAGGCGATTTCAGTTTTTGTATTCAGAAAACAGAATTTCCTATGACCATTGCTGGCCCTGTTTCCACAGTGTCTCCTTGCTGATTCACAGAGTAGCTTTTATATTGGCTACTACATACTAGCTTAATCATTCTTTCATTGAGTAGCAAGTAACTAAAATATCCATCCACAGCAAAAGAGTAAGTGTCAGGGGAATGGAAGTAATAATAACTTCAAGAGAGGAACAAGAAATAGCAGCTGTCAGAGGCCAGGAGATTGAAAGGTTGTTTCTGGCTCTTGAACTGCTGTGTTGTTTGTTTTCCCAGAGGCCAGGAGGACCCAGCAATGTCCTACGGGATGCATGTCTGGTTGCTAATATTTTGGATCCTAGAATCAAACAAGAAATCATCAAAAAGTTTATTAAACAGCATCTGTCAGAATATCTAGTACTTTTTCAAGAAAACCAAGATGTAAGTATTAACCAAATGAAATTGATGTTACATTTGAATTTTATTGAAAATTAAATACCCTCGAGTCTGCTGATTCATATTTTAATAGTATTACTGCCTTAAAATGTTGATGTTGAACTGTGAATTTTAGGGGCTGACTGTACAGTTCAGTGGTTCTTAACCATTTTGAGGTCATTGACCCTTTGAAGAAGTTAATGGGAGCTACAGATCCTCTCCCCAGAAAAATGTACCTGTGCATAAAACTTCGCATTCCGCTTCAGGAAATTTCCAGATCCCTGAAATCTAATCGTAGAGCCAAGTTAAGAACCTCTGGATCAAGTGAAAAAGTAGCCTAGATTCTTTAAAACTGTGAGAAATAGGGGTGCCTGGGTGAGTGTCAGGTGCTGGTTGAGTGTCGGACTCTTGATTTTGGCTCAGGTTCTGATCTCAGGGTTGTGAGATCAAGCCCTGCATTGGGTTCTGCGCTGGGCATAGAGCCTGCTTGGGATTCTCGGTGTCCCGCTCTAAAAAATAAAGTAAAATAAAATTAAGCAAAATAAAACAAAACTGAGAAATAAAGAGATTGGTTGTGTTTTTCTTGGTTCTGTGTTTTTGTTTATTTCCTGAAACTGTCAACACTACTTCTGAGCACTGCGTGGATTTTGTTTCCTACCTTCCTAAGGTCGCCTGGCTGGACAAAATCGACAGACGCTATGCCTGGATAAAACGCCAGCTTGTGGACTATGAGGAGAAATATGGCCGTATGTTTCCACATGAGTGGTACATGACCGAGAGGATTGCAGTAGAATTTTGCCATGTCACAAGGTAGATTCCAACTCTGCTGGTTTTACTGTTCATTGAAATTGGTTGGTTGAAATCAATCCCCTGGTGTCTGGGGGTTCCATCTTATCTTGTGAATTGGGTAGCATTTCCACCTTTTTGTTGTTGTTATTGGAGAGTCATCATTGTAATGAGAACGTCTTCACCTGTGCTGGACTCTCTCCCTTTAGACAACCCTTTTTCTGTTGAAAGTCAGATTTTATAAATCCAAAATCAACCCCTGAACTCCAGCTGCCGCTGTATTCCAACTTCTCCAACTTCAGAGTTCCAAACCTAGAGGAGAGGGCTTGTATGTGGAGTAAGAGTAAAACTTCTAGGAAAAAAGTAATAAAGGGTACATGAGAGTCCTGGGCTGGTAGCCTATAGTTAAAGCCCCCTCCCCTCTTCCCCCACTTAAGAGTAATATGTATAAAACACAGCAGCTTCATCTGCTCCTGTCTTTGCTCTAAAACTTTCCTGTAGCCTGACCCTTGCCTTGAACAGCCTGCCTTCTGGACTTAACCTACGCAAGGCTCATCCACCAGATTTTCCTCTGTTACTCATCACCCTACATCTTCTCCTGTGTCTCTATCATATATATCAGTGTACAGTGTATATATCCATGCTTCTCTGACTTGCTCCTACATACATCGTTCCATAGGGACAGGGACACATACTTCAGTGACACTCAGGAAATATTTCCTGAACAAACTTCCTGCCCCTAATGCAGTGTTTTTATAGTCTGGATAGTTAATAATATCGGCATCTGAATGTTCTAAGCATCCTAAAGACCTTCTGTCATTCATCCTGTCTCTGCAGTTTCATGAACAAAGCCCAGGGCCAGGGAGTCCATTTATATTGAAGAGCTAAAACCCAAGAAGTTTAGATTGGTGTGTCCATGACAAAGCTAAAGCTAGAGTCAATTTTTTTTAATTCTTTACTTGCTGCTTGACCACAGCAGTGGTAGTAACTGGGTTTTTTTTTGTTTTTTTTTTTTTTTTGTAACTGGGTTTTATTAGTTATCTATGCCTTTCTTTTTTTTTTTTTTAAAGATTTTATTTTTAAATTTATCAATGAGAGAGAGAGCATAAACAGGGGGAGGGGCAGAGGGAGAGTCAGACAGGCAGACTCCTCGCTGAGCAGGAAGCCTGACATGGGGCTTGATCCCAAGACCCTGAGATCATGACCTAAGACAAAGTCAAATGCTTAACTGACTGAGCCACCCAGGCGCCCCAGTTATCTATGCCCTTCTCACAGTGCACAGTTACATTAACTCCAGGCTAATTTTTTTTTTTAAAGCCCCATGTGTGAGCATAACTCAGCCACCTTAGAACAATTCATGGTAGGTATTTTTCTTAAAATCAGAGGATATAATAAAGTTGTATGCTTTAAACACCTGGGGGGCAGATTTCTTAAGGGTTATTGGCTATTGGCTTTATTATTTTCTTTTAATATGCATTTTGTTTTAGAGTAATTTTAGGATCACAGCAAAATTGAGAGGGAGATACAAAGATTTCCCATATACTCCTTCCCCCACACGTGCATAGCCCCCCTCTATCAACATCCCCCACCAAAATATACATTTGTCAAAATTGATAAACCTGCAGGGACAGACCATTATCACCCAGAGCCCACAGTGTGCATTCGAGTTCACTCCTGATGTACTACAGTCTGTGTGGCTGTTGTTTTCAGAAGCATATTTGCGACCATAGGTTTAGATAACCTTTAAATGTTGATTAAAGGACAATTGTGGTTGTTGCTTTCTAAGTCCCGATTAGCAAAGAAAGCACATTCCTTGAGAAATTGATAACTAATTCTCTTGAGGCTACAGTTCAGTGACTTGCACACTAATTCTGCAAAGAAAGCAGTCTGCAGGAGGCAGGGAGTCAGCCACAAATCTGCCATCGAAGTGGCAGCTAATGGCCATGTTGCTCCTGTTGCTGCCAAGCTGTCATTGTTGGAATTTTGGCTAAAATCCTACAGATACATAATTTTCAAAGACTTGCAGAGGCTCTTTGTTTGGTTTTGCCATTTCTTTGTATGGGAAGATAACCATGGCTCAGTACTGTGGCTCAGTACTTCCTAAGAGCTCCCAGGTCACTGCTCCCCCACAGCTCCCACTCTGAAGCAGAACACTGGAGTGGCACGCAAGCTTCGCAGGCAGGACCCGCCCGAGCACGTGCACGTCACTTCTCACGTGGGGACTGTAGCCTCGCACTTGTAGTTCCGGGGTTCCTGCTCTCTGGGTGAAGAGATGGTGATTGAACTCTTTGGAAGAGGGGGCTTTGTAATCCAGTAAGGAATGACTTGTGACATCATATAAAATATATACATGTCAAATTATGCATATATAAATACGTCATACATCAAATACATGCATGTAAAATTCTGAGTAAGTGCTTTATATTTACATTATTAACAAATTACAGAAAGGTTGAAAGATCTAAAAATAGTAGTGACCATATAAACAAATCAATCTCCTTAATCCTTGATTTCTTTTGACTAGTGGGCCATTTCACCTTCAAATTCTTATTTAGAGTATGTATCTCTATTCTCCAAACATTCAGCTTGGTAACAGACCTCAGGATTTAAAATGGCCACATTTTTGGGGGGCAGATATAAGCTAAAATCATTTTTTGGGGGGGAATATAAGCTAAAACCATTTATCCTGTCTTGAACAGTTTTTGGGGTTTTTTTTTTAACATCATTCTTATCTCTTTATTTTGAAGGACAGAACTTGCCAAGATTATGCGCTCCAGAGCTAAGGAAATTGAAGTGAAATTGCTTCTGTTTGCTATTCAGAGAACGACTAACTTTGAGGGGTTTCTCGCCAAACGCTTCTCCGGGTGCACCCTGACAGATGGAACTCTGGTAGGACCTTCCCGAGGGAAGCTGGGACAGGAAATCAGGGGGTTGGGGGGTGGAGCTTCCCTTCAGTCTTTACCAGTTTGGTGGTTCCTTCCAGTGGCTCAACTGCTCAGTCCCTCATTCCAGGGATTTCACTAAATTATGCAAATGGGGACACAGAGTATTGCACATGTTTAGAACGTCCTGTCATCATTTTATTTAAGTAGTGGCCACATGTAGCCTCACTTATTTAGTCACAAATACTGTATTACTTTATCAGCTGTTGATTTGTATCACGTGGAGGGTATGTTTTACCTTAGAATTTGTTTTCTTAATGTCTTTGGGCAGCAGACCAGGTCATTGTGTCTCTGTAAACCTGAAAGCCAAGTATACAAATTTGCATGTCAGAGAAACACTAAAAGATTAAAACAGAAAGGTACATAGGTCTGAGGACTGGGCTCCTCTGTTGGAAAGATGGAGTGTGTGTTGTTAGTTAATATCATTTAATGTCTATCTAAGCAAAGACCAGGTTCAAAGCATCTCTCTAAAAACTTCTTTTTGGAAACCCAGCCTCCTTGCTAACACATCAATATGCTTTCTTCAGATTTCCTATCCACAAGGAAACCAAATTTTTATGTTTTATAGTAAATTCTGTTTGCATCATTACACACGGGCATGCACACACACGGACTTTGAGCTCCTCGAATGCAGGAATCATGGTTGATTCGTCTCTGTTCCCAAGTCATGCAAAAAATACACAGACCTTGTGCAGGCCAGCAGGAATGAGGAGAGAAGGAAAACAGGAGCTAAGGAGGAAGAAATCCAAGTCAAGAGAGTCAGACCTCTTAAGTTCCTTTAAAAGTGGTAATGGAGAAGTGATATGATTTGATAGGAAAATCCTTGGACCAACACATCAAGAGACACTTGTGATCCAGTCTAGACCCTGCTATAATTCAGTGAACTGCCTTCTAGAAGAAACTAGCCTTGAATAACAGAGTACTAAGGGAGATAAACAAGACATCAAACCCAGAAGCCATAACGAAAAATAGCTGAAAGATTTCACAAAATATAAAAAGAATGAAAGAGACCATTAATGTAATTAAGGGATAACAAACTAGGAAACAATAGTTTAAGCTCTAAGACCAAGAATTTATATCCAAAGTAAAAAATTCTTTAAAATCAATAAGAAAAAGGCAAGTAACCAACTAGAAAAATGAGTACAGAGTCTAGCAGGAAATTCACTGAAGAAATACAGTTGGCCAGTAAACATGAAGAAAATAGAACAGGATACTCATTTTCTTCTATCAGGTTGACAAAAAAGTTACAAGACTAACAATACAGACTTAGTGCTAGGAGACAAATTGGTGCAGTCTTTAGGTACTTGTCTTTATGTATCAAAAATTAACATGTGCATGCCCTTTGAGGCAACAGTTTTACATCTAGATATGAGGTCTACAGAAAAATCCATACATGGAGAGGATGATGTACTAAGAAAGAGGGGGAACTGCAGCCTTCAAAGCAAAAAAAAAAAAAGGTTTCTATAATGTTTATCACTGAAGAATAGTTAAATAAAATATGGTATATCCGTACTGTGGAATAGTGGTAGAATGTGGGATCTATCTAGATGTACTATCATAAAATTAAGAAATCTCTCAGGGCACCTGGGTGGCTCAGTCAGTTAATCATCTGCCTTTGGCTCAGGTTGTGATCCTGGGTTCTTGGGATCGAGCCCCACGTCAGGCTCCTTGCTCAGCAGGGAGCTTGCTTCTCCCTCTGCCTCTCCCCTTGCCTCTCCCCCTGCCTGTGTTCACATACTCTCTGACACATAAATAAAAATAAATAATAAAATAAATAAATAAATAATAAATTAAAATTAAAAATAAAATCTTAAAAAAAAAGAAACCTCTCAGATACATTGTCAAATGGAAAATGGAAGCTGCAGCTAGTATATATGGTGTAATTCCACATGTAAAAACCAAAAAGCATCTTTATGAATGTAAATGTGTAAGAAAATGGTATAGAAATGATAACAATGGATGTTCGGGGGAAGGAAGTTGGAGTGAGAGTACGTGGAGAAGCAGAGAATTATTTTTTTCATTTTATTCTGGTATTTTGTTTGAAGTTTTTTTACACACATGCATTTCCATCACTTTTTAAAAATACTCTTTGTTTTTACATGCTTTAATTAAGTCATTTTTCAGGTTTTTTTAAATGAGGGAGATGAGCCAAAACAGGGACTCCCAAACTGTTTAACAAATTCTAATGTGGAATCCACATGGAATAACAGCTAACATTTTTGAACATCCTCTGTGTGTTCCACACTGTGCTAGGTACGTTTGTCTGTGGTCAGTCGCTGGGCTTCATCAGCTGTAGGAGGGAAGTGCTATATTCATTTAGCACTTTTATTTAGCACTTTTATATTCATTTAGATTTACCAGTGGTCACACAACCACTGTAAGTGCAGAAAAACAGCTACTCTGGTTGAAGCAGGGAAGTCAGAACAGAGATTGGGCCTGGAGTCCTGTTCGCTTGTTCACCCTTCACCTCTACTACCTTCCTGAGCCCCCACGCTCTTAGTCCTAAAATCCTGGGACGTCAGTGGCATCCCCTCTTTGCCTTCTTGTAAGACCTGCCTCAGAGTAGGTGTATTGGGGGCTGGTCCCTCAGGACACTGGGCTGAAGAGTAGTGGCAGTGGCACTCAGTTTTAAGGTAAGACCAGAAGACCCTACCTATTTAGGGCCAGTCATGACAGTATTGAAATAAAATACAAGGAACCACAGAGCATTCTTTCTATAATGAAAAAATAAAAATACATATGTATACTCCTCTGCTTGTTACTGCATGTTCAAAATTGGTTTCTTTTTAGTAACAAGGGGAAAAAATAGGCCATGAAACAAATGAAAATGCCCCTAAATAAGATGTAAGTCACAAAAGGAAATAATAGGTAGTGGAAATGCGATTGGAAGAAGAAATGTGTCTCTCTACTGAGAAGTATTTGGTTGACTTCAGCAGCGCCTGATAACCTCATGTTGGCCCTCCCCTCTGTGCTACCTGCGCCGTGTTTCTGGCCTGGTTTCGTACAGAGACTCATGCAGCTCTGGGCTCAGCCCTACAGCTGAAGCACTGAGCATAGACCCCCACCAGGCAGCGCCCCACTGTGTGCCCATGGCTTCTGCTGGACAGAGTCAGGGGAGCCTAAGGACGGGTTCTCTGAGCCAGTATTCCAGCAACCCATATGGGAAATAGATCCCGATGCAGGCTGCTTGAGTAACACTAGGCCAAACACCTGTTTTGAACCCTTTGTCTCCTTTGGCTGCGCCTTACTCACTGCTGATTTTGCTTTTACATTTAGGGAGCTGTAGGATTGCAGGGGAACAAATGGCCCTGTTCTATCTGATGACCAGGATAGCCCGTAAACCTGGAGCCGTCCCAGGACACATCACATCTCATTTGTGCTAGGAGATGCCCCACGGGCCCAAAGAGGTAGAGTAATGTGGCTCAGGAAGGCTCCCTCTGGACAAGGCGAGCCTGTTAAATGGGATAATAGATACAGACCATGAGAAACGGGAAGGAGCTGTTCTGAAGACAACACTTTTTGTTTTGTTTTGTTTTGTTTTGTTTTTTAGAAAATAACTATGAATGTTAGAGTGGCAGCTGGCCCACAGTCAGTACCTTTTGTCTGAGGGAGGAGAGGGCTTGGAGGGGCTTGTTTCTTGGGGCCGTGTGGCCTCTCTGTACTTAGGCTCACTCTGCAGGGCCAGGCTTCTGGACTGAGCCTTCCATCTCCTGGCAGGTGCTGTGCTCCAGAGGGTCTGGTCATGGTCAGCTGGGAACACTTAAACCTTTTGGCTTTTCTTTTTTATCAATTTACCATTTTTCGCCTTCTGTTTTGGAAATTTTCTGCAGAATTGATTTATAAATTTCTTCAATTGTTCACTTGTTGCTTCCTCTCCTATCAAGGTTTGTGGAGAGTTCCAGATTACAAATCCTTGGCCAGGGAATCCTGCTAAGCCATAAACTCTTTATTCTTCCCCCTGGTGGTCAGCTATCTTTTCCACAGACTTCTCCAAATCATTCAACTTATTTTTTTTTTTAAGATTTTATTTATTTATTTGACAGAGAAAGATCACAAGTAGGCAGAGAGGCAGGCAGAGAGAGAGGGGGAAGCAGGCTCCCTGTTGAGCAGAGAGCCCAGATGTGGGCCTCAATTCCAGGACCCTGAGATCATGACCTGAGCTGAAGGCAGAGGCTTAACCCACTGAGCCATCCAGGTACCCCTAATCATTCAACTTCTTTAGGTCAGACTCTTTGCCCAGACCACTCTTTGTCCTAGTTATCATGGCCCAGCAACCATTTTGCATTCCAAGTCCTGGCATTGGCTGGTCCATAACATCTCTAAGGGTTTTCCCTTGAAGGTCAGTTTCTAGAAAGGCAGCAGAACTCCCACGGCCTCCTCACTGGGGCAAGCCAGGTCATAGAGAATCAGTTCACTGCAGCCTGCCTTGGGAATATGAAAATGCCATGCTCCTCACTGTAGGTAATGTTCATTCTGAGCCTGGCCTACCACTGCCATGTTGTGGGCCAGGTGGGGCCACACCTTCATCTGCAGCCTGTAGGCCTCAGGACCAGGGCCGCTAGTGGATTAGTCATAGCCAGTGACCATGCTACCAACAGTGCTGGGAAGAGGTGGCCTGGGCCAGGCTGGGGGTCTGAGTGGCCTGACTCCACAGTCTAGCTGCTTGGCACCCCACCTGATGACTTGCTGCTCCTTGTCTCCTTACCTCCTTGCTGTGCTGCCTTGGTTTTTGGGAAATTGCTTGTGGTTACCATTTTATTTCAGGGCATCAGAATAAACTACAAAATGAACCAAGGTGTATCTTGATACCCTCTAGCGTATGCCAAATTTCGTAGAGGGCTGTGAATTCCTTGCAAAGTTATGGAACAGATAAGTCAGTCAAGGAGTCATGTTGACCAAAGACCCTCCCAGCCCCACCCACCCCCTTCTCACTGTATTATTCAGTTC